GTATACAACATCAAACTTGCGTTTGCACACCATTTCAGGTGCCATATTATACACAACTCAACAAGTCTGATGCTGTATAGTGAAGTTTGAGTCTGGTCAAATATCTACTCAACAGCCATAAGACTCTTCTTACAAGTCTGATAGTTTATAGCATAATTACTATTAATAGAAAGTATCATTACATGTTTTTATTACTTAGTTCTTGTTCAATTATGAATTGGTACAGTTGATACTTATTTCACAATAGAGTTTCTTGTTGTTGTTGTATCATGTAGTCATTGCAGATGATACTATTTTTCATATCACTAGGCACATGTAGTCATAGACTGCCTATTTTTATTGTTTAGTTCCTCAGTCAGAGGTAATCAACTATTCCGTTTTGTGCATAGTCAAGGCCAAAAAAAAAGTGAACAAAGAATTTACAACAAAGAACTTTGTCAGGTTTTGTAACCATTCCCATCTATTAACTATGTAATGCTACTACAACAAAGAGAACAGCTTTAGAAAAATTAGACTTTGATCAACACATGTGGGTCCTTGGGTCATATTAGCACAAGACCTGAGGGAATTTTCCAGATGAACATTATTTGCCACAATCATGGACAAAAGTCCTTGGGACACTTAAATAATTTAACGAATTATCTGTGTTTTACTACTGAAGTTTGAAAAAAGCCCTGCTTTCCTTTTAAAAATGCGTTACTGTTCCCCTTCCCCACCCAATATAATGTTGAAAATCAGAAGAAATTGAAGGTAGTAGTTTTCAACATTTTATGGGGGGTGGAGGCAAGGTTAGGCAGGTGAAGTGGTATTTGCACCTGGCGTGTGCGCAAAAGCACCGAAAGTGCAAATTTGTCCCAAGACTTTAGTCCATGATTGTAGATCAGCACATAGTGCAAATGATAAGGCAGCCTTAATTTACAAATCCTGCATCATGAAGATTCCTGAATTATAACTCACATGAATATTTATTACTGGTACTGTCAAGAAAGACACAATAAACAAATAAATTTCACATCAAAAAAAGAGATGAGTATTTGTAAAATTTAAATTGGTCAATGATTTAATAGCTCCTGCTGATTGAGGGAACATCAGAAGTTGCGTGATTAAAAATGTGCACACATGGGGTAGGGCATGGTGACAGATATCAAAACTAACAGCTTACTTCATATCCTGGCCAAGTAAGAAGCACGGTGAGCAGAGGGTGAATCACAGTGACAAAGACCCTCAAGCAATTATCAAACAGGGTTGCCCCAGGTCACAGGGTTTTTCACACATTTCATATAAAACTAAAAAGCCTGCAATAGACAATAAAGACAAGGGCTAATAAGCTACTTTTGATATATTACAATCTATCTTGATAGTGAGGCCTAGAGGACACTGAAAGAGAAATGAAGGAACAAACTTGTTCAGTTTGCTTTGTTTGTGTCCTCTTGGACAGTATCAAGGCGAAATTTGATATATCAGAACACAATGTCTCTTAGACACAAAACACTATTGAAGCAACAGCTACTATGCACTTATCTCACTCATCTCTGCCTTCCATGGACAATGCACACCCCCAGGGCTGAAATAAAATTCAAGATACCCACCCTGGACTCTCCAAGTTAGCTTAAAGACTCTCTGTAAAACAGCATGCATTCCACACTTCAGCTAATTTTGCATGATACAAAAGCCTTCGTTTCAAAGTGTTTTGTAGTAGCTATTTCAATCGGTGATAATCTGAGCAATCTAACTTGATTTCCAAACAGATATCGTTCTTCATCAACAGTTTCAATATCACTCTTTTGGATAGGGTGATTATTTTATGAGAACAAAATTATTGTTACCAGATTGTCTTTTACATACTTAAGAAACCAAACAGTAATTTGAGCAGAACCTTGGTGGAAGGTTTTGACCATAGAAGCCCTTAAAAGAATTATTTGAGAAAATCTGCCCGGGATCGGTGGAGAAACAGTAGTGAAGATGTACTCAGATACAGGAATGAAAAAATACTCCTGTCTGCTGCAATAAGTGACAGAGAACTGATTTTTATTTTCCATTGTAATGGTGTCATTGCCCAGTGTCATTGCAAGCCTTCAGAAAACTCTATCACATCACTTGTAGATTCATCCAATTTTAGGTTAACTTTGGCGATATTTCTTGCAATTTTTTTATCACTGAAAAGTTCTTTCTCTGCTGCATTTTATTCCTGGAGAAGAATTGAACCTTATTGCCAAAAAAGCAAACTGAAAACTTTTTAGTATCTGTATGCGACCGGTTATCCATAAGAACTCTGTAGGGATTCCAAAGCACGCTATTAAATCGCCAATGAAAAAAATTAAATACTATTTATCACTCTTATTCTACATCACGACTATGACAGCATTCTAAGCAAAGTAAGTAATGAACATTCTGTTTATAGATATGCTTGTGAAAGAAAATAAAAGAGTAAATTTATTTTGTGGAGTTGTTTCAATTCTCGGCATGGTGCCTACAATGGCAGGAACTTTGTACCTGACATTTGTCACCTTGCGACACGAGGTCAGAATTTCAAAATACAGCAGTTCTAAGTTTAATGGCATCTAAGGCCATCATATTATACCTGTTTCTACCAGTAAATTATATTTGAGTCTACCAAATGCCCCAAATCCTTTTGATTTTTCTGACACTTTCTTCAGCGACTGAATCAAAACAAAAACAAACCCTCACAATGCATGCCGTTCGACACAGAGTCTTAAAAGTAAGGAGTAGGCACTGCTGGAATGGACTAATGAAATATTAGCAGAGTTAACACTGCAGAATGTACTAGAAATTTTCAAATGCACTAGAAACAATAAGTAATCTTGGAACATCATTTGATTAACCTTGTTACTTTTTTTATCAGAGAACGTTACCATGGTATTTCATAAGTGTATCATTTGGAAGCATTTTATATCCTAAGAGACAATAAAGACCATGTTTCTAATCAATGCACTTGTTCTCAGTCAGTACTGGATAGGTTTGACATTGTGGCCACTAGTGCTAAGTCCAGTAACATCTCCTGGAAAACAATTTTAAAGCTTTAGGTAGGTTGCATCCATAGTCTTGACAAGTAAAGCAAATGGTATGATTGATGAAGCTTGCCTTGTCACCCAATATATAGTGTCCATTCTAAAATATGGATCAATTTCTTCTGTTAATCCTGGTCTCCCCATCATTTGATAAGAGTAAGGCTCAATGAATGCTTGCAAGACCACTTGACCTGCCTTACTTTCACCAGTCTCACCATCTATGTATTTCAGCTTAGGAGAGTCCAGATCAGCACAAATGATAGAAGGTGTCAATTTGATAAGTGGTTTAGACCCTTCTTGACTCAAGTCATCAGAATTATTATCAGCACATTTTGACTCGAGTATTTCCATTATGTCATTTGGATTTAACGACAAAAAAGCCAAATTCCAGTTTGATGAATCATTATCGTTTTCCTGTCCACTAACAGCCTCAAGTTGGAATCGACACCATCCAGTAGGGAGTGAATATGTTTGGGGTGGATCCCCACTCTTACATAATGGTGTTTCGACATCTTGACAGCACTCTTCACAATAACAGGGATTTAATGCATCAACTTCAAAATACCGTGAAGGAATATTCAAATGACTAAGAAATCTAATGCAGTTCTCTTGGTATTCACAGCTAGCTTTGAATGTGTCACTTGAAACACTGTTCTGCTTGAATGGAGGACTAGTGGTACTTGATTTTTTTCGTGGAACTTTCTTTTCTTTGCAAGGTAAAGGTAACTTTTTGGTGCACTCTTCTCCTACATGCTTCATACATCGGCTGTGAACATCGAGACCACATCCCTCACACTTCATCCCTTGATCTCTAATTCCCCACATGAATCCTCCACAAAATGTACACCATTTGAAATGTTTGTAAGAATGAGGTTTGAATACGTGGGGATATGAAGTGGACTTTTTCTTCTCTTCTTTTGGCATCTGCCCATCTACATGATTAATGACGCGAAACATGTTCAGCACATCTACAACAAGATCTGTGATCGATTTGTATTTTTTCTCATCAGTGGAATCAATGAAATATCTTTCGTTTTCATAGAATAATCTGTAATGCAGAATATGGCCACCGTAGCTTAAAGACAGGCTATAATCACCCGGTGAACTATTACTTTCCCGCACTAAGTATCTACCGTTGACTGGACCATTGGGGCCGGAAAGTAATTCCTCTACTTCCTCCCGAGGAATTCGCCCATGAAATTCTTCTTCAAAGAACGGGGGTCTTGACGGCAAGTTCTTCATGCAAGCTAAGCGAATCGGCTCGGGTGCAGCATTCTGTTGTAAAGCAAGAAGCATGTCACTTTGCCATCCTCTACACTCATTTTCATTCAGTCTGTTGACATCGACGTAAGGGGGGGGTCGCTCCATATGTTCATTTGTAAGTTTACGATTTGGTGGATGCTGGTCATCTGAAACGAACTTGTTAACGGAGAAAGTGTTTTCAGCACTTTGGCGATCGATTTCTTTATAAGTCCTCGAACAAAAACCATCAACCAAGACTTGCTTATCCTGTAACTTCTCTAAAGGTAAGTCTTGTCCTAAAATGAATCCCAATTAAAGTAAACTCACTAACGTTAGAGGTTATTTGCCCGAACAATGAACCCTCCCAGAGAACCGTTCTGGGAATTCAACGTACCACAAGCATTAATTATGGAACTCAAATACCTCACCTTACTGTTCTCCTTCCCTCTAGAGCCTCAGCTGTTCAGAAACTGAAAGTTGCTCTTATATCCACAGTGTTAACTTCTCATAATTCTTCAATATCCGTGTGAAATACCCGGACACTCTTGGACACTCTAAGGCCGAGGTCTCTGGCTCTCTCTGGCATGTTACGAGGCTTACGTCATGGACTCGTCATATTCTAGTTCCCAGATCACCCCAGATCATTTTTGTGCCAAAAAGGCTCGCAAGGGAGTAGTATAATCAGAGATTATGAGAGTGCGTTCGACGCTCTTACTTTAATATACATATACCGTAAATAAATAACTGATTTCACTAGCTGACTTTCAACCTTTGTCTATTGTTAAAATCAACATTTTTCGGCAGCAACCGAGGTTTTACAGTCAGATATGCATAGTCACAGTAGTCCATGCTAGTGAATTAGAGGTCACGATTTGTTGATACGTTGCGTGACGCTGCCAGTTTCTGTAGACTCTCAAGTTTCATAGAATATTTAAATTACGTACATTATTCTAAATAGTCCAGCTGTTAGGGGACAAAATTGTTCGTTTTTTGATAAAAGCATCAAACTTGGCAGGGTTACTAACCTCTATAAGACAAATATTTCCTGACATGGAGCCATGCCAAATTTGCTTCCAGAACCATGGAATGCGCGTGTCAAAAATATGGCACACAAGGCCCGCACATGGAAACGAGGCTGATGCAAAGTACCGATTATTTTGGCGTTGTGGGACTACTATGCCTTGTGTCTTGCTTTTTTTTAATTGCTGGTTTTCAGTGTCACGCAATTTAAAATAGATCAAAATAAAAATCAAAACCGGTCAATAGATAAAGTCCAGAATCTGGGAAATGAAAGAA